CCCCAAAACCCCAAAACCCCAAAACCCCATGATATCATCATTAGTAGTTCATCTTCAATCTCTACAATGAATTTAAGTAAATAATCATATAATTATTTGAAGGGTGTAATGGATAAAAACTCTAGTCAGTCAGGAGAGCCCGACAGTCATCATAATGAAATAGATGAAGTTTATGAGTTTGAGGAAATAAAAGTCATAAACGTTGAAGATGCAGATGATGTTGTTAGCATGAAAGCAAAAACTCTAGAAAAGTAAGCGAGATAGGAGGGAGGACTTGAGTAAATCAAAAAGTAACAAGTAAATTCAATTTCTCTGAAAAACTCAATATAGATATCTTTGTCTGAGGCATAAATAATTCAAGATGAATTGAACGATTAATACAAAGAGATCAGTGATAGGGGAGCTTCAGGGAACTAGAAAATGTCAAGAGGTGTGAAGAAAACCATAGAAGATTTTGAACTTCATTAGGTTTTAGGTGAGGGGTCTTATGGAAAAGTTTATTGCGCATTAGAAAAGAACGAGAATAAAGCCTACGCAATCAAAGTGCTGGATAAGTATCATATTATGAAGGTAAACTCTAATAAAATTATTGCTAAGACAAAATTTAATTACTAAAAAATAGAACTAAAAAGTAGATAGTGTGTTTAGAGAAAGAGATATACTTAGAGAATTGTCACATCCAAGCATCATCAAGCAATATTATACTTTTCAAGACGATATAAATCTGTACTACGTTTTTGAGTACGCTAGTCGAGGTAGTCTGACAAAATTGCTCTCTCAAGTTAATATAAGTGAGAAAATACCTTTGGAGCTTGTGAGATATTATGCAGCAGAAATCCTATTAGCACTTGAATATTTGAACAGCAAAAATGTGCTCCATAGAGATTTGAAACCTGAAAATATCCTAGTTACAGAGAATTGGCATTTAAAAATAGTAAGTTTAAAGTTTAACGCTAAATATTCTGTAGATAGATTTTGGAGATTCATGTAAGCTGCAAAATGGTGAAAGTGAAATTCAAAATGGAGAAAGATAAAATTAAAAAAGAAAGGCAACATTTGTTGGAACACCATTGTATGTCAGTCCCGAAATGCTACAGGATAATATTTCATCATTTGCAGGAGATATTTGGGCCTTTGGATGCATCATATATCAAATGATAACTGGTGAAGTACCATTCAAAGCATAGCATGATTATCAAACTTTTCAATTGATTCTAAACAGAAAAATGCAGTTTCCTGACTATATGAGTGAGGATGCTAAAGATTTAATTGATTAAATCTTAAAAGTAAATCCTTAAGAAAGACTTGGATCAGGAGGATAAAGTGATGAGAATGGAATAAATGCTATTAAACAGCATCCTTTTTTCAGAGACTTTGATTTTTAAAATTTCTAGCAATAACCTGTTCCATTACCATAAAGTCTATAAGCATCAGCAAGAAAGCAAACAGTAATTAAAAGGTAGATAAAAGCAGGTGAAAAGTATGTTGAAGAATTAAAAAGAGGCCTGCTAAAGAAAAGAAATGAATATTTTATGTAATAAACAAGGACATTCATTTTAACCAATGAGCCTTCGCTAAAATACTATAAAAATGAATCACAATTTAGGGTAAAATTTAATGAATTTAAATGTATCAATAGGGTGAAGTAAGACTTTCTAGAGCTGTTTACGCACGAAGAACTGGTAGAGATAGATTTGAAATAGTAACACCTGGAAGGATATATCATCTAAAAGAGGTAAAAGCAGGTGATTCTGATTAGTGGATTAATGCAATTAACATTGCAATAAATTAACATATCAATGAGTGAATAATAGCATCAGAATAAATAGAATGGAATATATGTCCAGCAATAAATATGTAACACTTTTAAAATAACTGACTTAATTTAAATGTGCTTAAATTTTTTAGATAAACTTATTTGACATTTTGGGGTTTTGGGGTTTTGGGGTTTTGGGG